TATGGAATTTTAAAAAAGTGGTCTGAAGAACCTAGGTCAGGACAGGAATAAAGACGCAGACATAGAAAATGGACTTGAGGACACAGGGTGGGGGAAGGGTGAGCTGGGACAAAGTGAGAGAGTGGCATGGACATATATACACTACCAAATGTAAAGTAGATAGTGGGTAGCAGCCACATAGCACAGGGAGATCAGCTCAGTCCTTTGTGCCCACCTAGAGGGGTGGGATAGGGAGTGTGGGAGGGAGACGCAAGAGGGAGGGGATATGGGGATGTATGTATACGTATAGCTGATTCACTTTCTTTTACAGGAGAAACTAATACATCACTGTAAAACAATTATACTCCAGTAAAGATGTTAAATAAATAAATCTTCCCCCCCAAAAAAAGTTGCCCATGGATTTCTGGTGTGAGAAACTGCTCTCCTCAGCCACATGGCAGCTGGGGACTGCATACTGAGTGCCCTGGAAACAGAGGTTCTCACAGGCCCTGAGCCTGTGCAGCTCCATACTTTCCATGGATCAGGGAGGCAGCCTTCTATAAGCTCAGATCAGCCATCAAGGCCTCCTTGCTAAGCAGAAGTGTTACCTACAGGATAGAGCTAAGTCTGGGTCCTCTGGTGTATCCCACCTGCAGGAAAGGGTGGCCTCTTCTGTCCTCAGTCTCTTGCCAGTTGACTAGGTGCCAGAAGAGGTCACTCCTCTCTGGAACCCTTGGCTATTTGGGGAGCCCCTTGGAATCAAATGAGTGAACAGCAATGGGAGTTTGTACACTTTATGGACAGCATCAAAACTGCACGTCATGGGGCTTTCTGGAGATCTGCTGCTTTTCATTCCTTAATCCAGACATCCTTGATAAAGGATGGGATCCAAGCACCTTCAAAACTAACTGAACCTCAGGAAGTCATCTTACCCTGGCCAATAAGTGGCTCCATTGGTGTGTGTTTATAGACTCTCAGGCCATTGCCAATGGTCTAGCCACCTGGTTCCACCAATGGTCTAGTGACCTGGTTCCACCAATGGTAACCACAACAATTACTTATCCAAGGCTTCCATCCTTGGGGAAAATAACTGTAGGAGTCTCTTTCCTCACAGATACCCAAAATATAAATCAATGTGTCATATTAAAGCCACAATACAGGCCTCACTTTATCCACTTTGGCATTCCAGATGTTGTCAAGGGTGACCATTTCACTTCTAAAATTATCCAATGCTGGGCTCTTGAACAAGGTGTTCAGTGGAACTTTCCCCACCCTTGTCAGTCTCAGCCTACAAGCCTCACAGAACTCCCTTATGGCATACTCAAGCAAGATAAAATTTAATTAAATGAAACATGACATTTTTATCATCAAACATCAGGGATGACCTGTAATAAAGAGTCTGATTCCATTTTTGATGTTTGATGGTCAGAAACTTCCAAGGCCCATCCTTCTGCTCCACCTTTGGACTAGCTGATAAGAAAGCCCAGGTGTCCCTCTGGGACTGGCAGGAAGTTCAGACCATGTAAGCCCAGCCCACAGATGGGAATCCTTACCTCAGCCCCCCTCCTTAATCACAATAAAAGGCAAACCAGTCCTCTTTCCTCTCTGCCTAGCCATTTTTAGATCAGCTTGGGAGCTTGCCCTGTGCCCCCTGGAAGCTCTCATTACATGAGTAATAGACCTTTTCATACCTTCTCAGGCTTTGTGTGGGGTCATCAATCTTGACATCCAAAGCAAATTTTGGGTGGAATGACCACAACATACTTTCTCCTAAACCTCTGTTAATACCTCAACAGTGGGCTCATCAAAACTAGGCTTTAGAATTATTTGAGTCACCCTGATAGAATTTTGCAATTTCCACTGTAATTTGAGTCTACTGAAAATTGTGAAATTCTCTACTGCAAAGGGTATTATCAACTGAGAATTCAGCTATCTTTTCTTTTTATGTTTCACAGTTAACTATTTGTGTATGTACTTTTCATTTGTCAACTCCAGAAAAAATTGGGGGAGAGCCCACACTCATGTAGAGCCACAATTCTTATTTCTTTGCAGCCTGTTTAGCTATGTTGCTGCAGAAAAAACTAAGTTACTATATTAGGCTTCATCATGAAATAAACTAACATGTTTAAAATTGGAGGTATTCAGAGCTGGGTGTCCCAAACATTCCTAAACAGTTCTGAGATTGGAATCTGAATGACTCAGATGTTCAGGACCAAATTTTCTTTCTCTCAGCCTGACACATCACTTAGTTCTGTTCCAAGGATTTCGTTTTTCTAACACTCGTTAAATGCATAGATTTGTTTCTTAGAGCAGAAATTTTTTTGATAAAAAATCTAGATAGAAAACATAAACTAAATAGATGTGTATTTATATAATTTATATATTATAGTTATATAAATTGCATATTTGTATAATCCTGTACCAGGTTGCCAGATACAATTTTTTGCCAGATACATTTTTAGTGCATTGGGGAAATAATGGTTTCTTAGCATCTGATCTGATGGACTTTGCTTTCCAGCTATACTGGAATCTCCTGGGTGCAACTATAAAGAGTCTGGAGAAAGGATATTCATTCCTTTTGAATTTGTTCAGAGACAATAAACACTATTCTCAAGTTTGAGCATCAAGAACTTGCACCTCTTTTCAAAATTGCAAAAAGTCATGAATTATCTTTAAAATTAATTCACATAAATGTTTTTTCTACCTGAAAATATGAATTCCAGAAAGATATTTTTATATTAATTCTTTCAAATGAATACTGTATTAATTGGCTACATAGGGAAAGCTATCTTATCAAAAACTTTTCCTCTAATTTGTCACTGAGAAAAAGTATGTATATACATGAAAAAAAAAAGGGAATCCAAGCCATGGAGAGAGAAAAATTACAGAAAACAGCTACACAAAGGCAAAACATTGACAGAAAAGAGTATGCTAGATTATTTTCTTCTTTTGATGCAAAAGACATATTAAATGTCATTATTTGTATGCACTTCTTCTTTCATCCGTGAAACTTGTTGAGCACCGTCCTGTGCCAGGCATTGTGCTAACCCCCGTGGATATCATGTAAGATGGTATCAACTCCATCCTCCAGTTGCTCACAATCAAGTAAGAAAGAAAAGATTATTAAGACACAAGTGTTATAATATGAATTTATATTTGTGCCTTAGCATACAGACTACAGCCTTTAATTCTGATTAGTCAGTGTTTCATGGTTATGGGCTGAGTCCAAAGAAGGTGAGGCTTTAGACTGGGATAAAGAGTACATCAAACCACATGATCATCTCAACTGATGAAACACCCTTTAATGAAATAAGAACATTCAATAAACTAAGAATAGAAGGGAACTTCCTCAAAATGGAAAAGACCATTTATGGAAAACCCACAACTAACATACTCAATGGTGAAAGTCTGAAAGCTCTTCCCCTAAGATCAGGAACAAGACAAAATGCCCACTTCACCACTTCTATTCATTACAGTACTGGAAGTTAGAGCCAGGGCAATTAGGCAAGAAGAAAAAAACAGTATCCAAATCAAAAGCAAGAAGTAAAACTATCTCTGTTTACAAATGACATAATCTTCTAGCTATAAAATCCCACACAATCCATTTTTTAAAACTGTTAGTGCAAATCAATGAATTCAGCAGCAGTTTCAGGATACAAAATCAACAGGCAAAAATCAGTTGTATTTCTATGCACTAGCAATGAACATCCAAAAAGAAACTGGATTGGAAAAAATTCACTTACAATAGCAAACAATGGAGTAAAATACTTAGGAATAAATTCAATAAAAGAGGCACACAACTTTTGTATGCTGAAGACTATGAAACATTTCTTTCAAAATTAAAGAAGACCTAAATAAATTCTAAAAATCTCTTGTGCATGGACCGGAAGACTTAGTTGACTAAAGGGTGAATTATGACCCTTAATGGAGAAATTATTCAGCGTTTTGATTATGAGAATTGTGAATATATTAAGATGCCAAAGATAAAGCAAGATGTAACGTGAATTTCAATAAAAAGTTACTGTGAAAATGGTAATGATTTTATTTCCCATTTTATTTAGGAATGACTAAGAGAAAATACACTAAATTTTGGGGGGAAAAAAAGAGTATCTTAATACATAAATGAAGGTCTAAAGGCAAAGAGTAATATTGACATGATACAAAGGTTATTTTTTGCTGATACAAAGGCTATTTTTTTGCTGATTTTTACAAATTTTTGACCATGACAGCTTAAGTGTTAGACATATAGAAAAATTACCTCTCCTGCTTTCCCTCCACAGCTAAACTTCAAGAAGTCTATACCTGTATTCCTCATTTCCTTAGCTTACATTTATTCCTCAATCTACTGTCAGTCAGCCCAACTTTTATGAAGGTGCTGTTGTTAAGTCAAAGAAGCCAACACATGACTAAATCATCTGTGAACTCTGTTGCATTGGCATGCTTAGACAACCCATCCTTCTTGAAATGTTCTCTTTCTTTGGTCTCTCTGACACAACTCTTTCCTGGTTTCCTTTATCCTTCTATGATGACTTCTTCTCAACCTCCTTTGCTCTCTTATTCTCCTCTACCCAGCCATTAATTGGTGGGTAGAAGTTCTCAGGAGCTGGTCATAGCCCTTCTTCTCCTGTCATTCTCCTTTCTTCTAGAAGAGCTCACATATATGCTCACATATCATGACATATATGCCAATGATCCCCACCCTCTCAAGACCTTTTCTCCAGATCGCTAGCACAAATAACCAAATGTTTCTCAACATCTCAGTATGAATGTCTCAAATATTCCTCAAACTAACCATGTCCAAATAATCACCCTCTTAATCAAACATCATCGTCTTCCAATGCTCCTATCTTAATGAATTATCATTCATCCAAATGCACCAGTCAGAAACTTAGTAACATTCTTTTTTTTTTTTTTTGATGTACGCGGGCCTCCCACTGTTGTGGCCTCTCCCTTTGTGGAGCACAGGCTCCGGACACGCAGGCCCAGTGGCCATGGCTCACGGGCCCAGCCGCTCTGCGGCATGTGGGATCTCCCCGGACTGGGGCACGAACCCGTGTCCCCTGCATCGGCAGGCGGACTCTCAACCACTGCGCCACCAGGGAAGCCCATTCTTAACATTTACCTTTTATTAACCCCCCCATATCCATTTCTTCACCAAAGAATGTCAATTATTACCTCCTGAGTACTTCTTAGATCTCTATTTCTATCTGTACTGTCGAAACCCTAGTCCAAATTGCCAGCATCTCTCCTGCGTTGTTATAAAAACTTTGTAACTATTCCAACTATAAAATGTTGCCCTCTAGAATCTGAAAAAATACTGGGTGGAAAGTCTTTAGTCCTCAAATCTGTGAAGGAAGCACAGTAAACTCTTAAGTTTCCAGAGTACCTGTAGAAATATTATGAAACGCAAGTCCGAGTGCCCAGCACACACTGCGGCCAAACAATACCAAAACATCAGGGTTTGGAGCAGAGAAAGGTTTATTGCAGGGCCATGCAAGGAGACTGGTGGCTCATGCCTTAAAAACCCTGGACACCTGGAAAGCTTTCAGCAAAGCCCTTTTATAGCCCTTTTATAGGGAGGGGCATGGTTAGTTGTTACAAACTTCTTGGTGTTAGATCCTTTGTTCTTGAGGCCAGGTCACTGTGTTCTTATAAACCTCCATCGAAACAAATGTTATTCTCTGTTCTGACAAGAAAGGGCAAGGTCCCAAGGCTCAACTTTCACCCTCCGAGGTCCAGGCCCTGGCTTACAGGAGGGGGTCCCTGCGCGGGCCAGTTACCCTGCCCAGGAGCTTTCATCCAGCACCCAGTCTGAGTCCTCCCGCCAGCGTCCAGGCCTGGGTGAGGGGCCAGATCTCAGCTGGCAGCGCCCTCAGGGCCAGGTCCCCAGACTCTGCCCAGCCATCATCAATGAGGGAGCCAGGCGGCCAGGACCCAAGCCGGCCCTCAGGCTTTTCATTTAACCTGGACAGAATCATTTGTATACGATCGACAGGAATACGTGTTGTAGCAAATGCCCATCAGGTGAATCCCCAGCTCACAGAAATTGCCCTTCTTTGAGAAGAGCCCAACCACTGAGGTGGACCTGAACTAATGACCTGCAATGTCCGTGCAACTTAACCCTGGCCTCTGGCCATCTCCTAGGGGGAGACAACTTATCTAAGCTGCACCAACTTTTGAAACTTGAATGGAGAGACTGAAGCAGGTTGAAGCTGTTACCTCAACGGCAGTGTCCATATACTCCAGTTGCTGAGGCCTCCACGGACTGCGACCCATGAAGACCGCCCGCCGCCATTAGGTTGCAGACGTTGGGATGGGGGAGGGGTTCGCTGCTGCTTCGCTGCTTCAAGGTCTGAGCCTGGCTAGCGGGCGGCTGCGGTGAGGGCTCTGGGGCTCTGCGGGACCCGGCCCTCGGCCTGTCCCAGGCCCTGCAACCGCCTCTCGCCTCTCACCACACTCTCTGCCGCGAGCACCACTGCGAGCTGACTGTTGGCTCAGGGTCTCGCGATAACGGTCGTGCTAACGGTCAGGCCAAATGCTCTGCTCCTATTACAGAAATGATGATAATTATTCAAATACACAACAAAACATTTATCCACATTACACATTATCATTAATAAACACCATCCCTTGTTTAGTTAAGAGTAAGAGGTTTGAAAATTGGCGGACAAAAAGGCGATGACAAGCACTATTTCCATTCTGCTACATCTCCTGCTTTATATCTGACCTTTCAAAACCAGAGTAACCAATTTGACTTTTCTCCTTCAGTCTTTCCCAGATTATTCTGGGGTCATCGGAAAGCCTGGGAAGGCTCTGATGTATTTCTCCAATAAGGGTAAGAAAGTCTTTCATATGAAGATGTTCATCTATTTTCTCTTGGAGTAGAAGTGACTCCAGTAAAGTCTTCTTCTGTTTCAGGAAGGCAGATTGGGCCAGTTCTGCTCTTTTCCTGTTACAGTTGGGACACCGAGAAGAAATGTGTTGCTTAGCTGTTACCACCTCGTTGGGTGTTGTCCTCATGTTTTTAAAATAGATTCTGTTCAGAAGCTCATCGGGGACAGTACAGTTTAAGGCATCTACCTCTGGAGCCTCTGCATCCGATCCAAGCTGCAGCTTTTTGTGTCTGCTGCTCTTTTTCCCCTTAGAGGTCGCACTACGATGGATCAGGTTTATCTTAACGGTGCAGAAAGACTGCAGGGCATTCAATTCTTCAAGGGATGCCTGAGTGATTTCTGTTTCAAGTTTAGTGTCTGGTTGGTACTGTCCAGAGTTCATTTCCTTGCCCTTGAGGTTGTTGATCCATTTTCTGCTCAACTTCTTTTCACTATTTTTGAAGTGTGAAAACTCAGATTGGTTGTCTCCATGTTGCAAGCGTGGAGTCGGCGTTCCACTCTCGTATTTACTCCCAGAGGCATAGGACCAGGGCTGCCGTCCTCCAGAGGAACTGAATGAACTGGAACTCTGTGCCTCATCAGTAAAGGACTCAAAGGTCTCCTTAAAAAAGTCTGCCATAGTCCCGATGTCTGTCTGGGTCAATTTCCCCTGCTTCTCTGAATCCTCGGGCTTCCAGGCGGATGGCCATCACATTGCATCAGGCTCTGCTCCTCATCTGCTTTGCGGTGGTCAAGATTGCCTCAGGAACTAGTCAGTCCTGAACCCCTGGGGATGGGTTTTGGAGCTGATGGTTCCGTAAGGAAACGCTTCCGGGCAACGCCTTCCCGCTGCCTTGGCAACCAGGGGCGGTCATGCGCAGTAGGTCGCTGAGGCGCCTCGCTCCTCCCCTTCCCCGCCCTCCCCAGAACCGACTCTGCCTGCATTGTTCCTGTTGGGTTGTCGGCGCCGCCCTCTCCGTTCGCTCTCCGGTGTCTTCTCTTTAGTGCTATTTTAGTACAAAATCTAATAATCCTCCAGAAAACGTTGCAAACTCCCCTTCCCTAGGGGTCAAAAAATTGTACATGTGTGTGAGGGCAACAGGGAAAGGCGGCCTCTGACTAATCGGAGAGTGCACGCCTCGCTTTCAAAAAAAAAAAAAAAAACCCAAACAAAAAAACATCCGGCTGGCCAAAAAACACAAGCAAAAGGTGTCTGCCAATCAGATAGACAAGAGATCATCTAATCGTAAACCGCGTCTTAGGATAAAATTCGAAATTCTGAAACCATCCTGTAAGACTCCTGAGTGGCACGGCTCCTACGTATTATTTCTCCAGCCTCATCTTGCACAGCTTTTTGTGCTGTAGCATTTTGGAACACTGCAGTTTTCCCAGTCACAGTTCCTCAGGTCTTTGTTCAGGCAGTGGCTCTCTGAATGGCACTTCAACACTCCTCTTCCCTCTTCGTAAGGTTAATTACTGCTCCTCTTTCAAGTCCCATTTTTTCAGGAAGTGCTTCATACCCATCCCTGCCCCCAAACACTTTACAGCACAGCCTTTCTTTCCGGGTTTGCAACTGTGTTTTATGCATGCTTGAGAATGCCTTCCACATCGCCCCCAGATTAAAAACCCGGTGAAAGCAGAAATCCTGTCAGTGCTATCCAGCAGTCAGCAGGTACCTGATACATAGAAGGTGCTCGATAAATCTCTGTTGAGTAAATGTGTTGAATGGTTATGGAAACAGAAGTATTACCTTACACAGGTCCGCGCCTGGATCTTGTGGAATAAGTACTACAAGCTCAAGGAACTTCAGTCTTTTCCTCTTCCTGAACCCCCCAAATTAGGCTGCTACTCATAATACATCCTTTTACGACAGACTTTTTAAGAATATGGTAGAGCTTTATTAACTATTCTCAGAAATTATAAAATGTTAACTCTGAAGGTTGACTTTTTCTAGATCTTAATAAATATCTGAGTCTAGCTCTTAGTAAATATCTGAGATAATTTCAAGAGAATGGGTTTCCTTGCTCATTTCCTTCTGTGTGTGTGTGGGTGGTAGTAGCGGTGTTGGGGGGGGTGTTATTCGAGTCTAGCCAGATATATTTAATATTATTCCCAAAGTGCTCACTTTGGCAAAGAGTCAAAAGTCTGAAATGTTCAAAAAGCATCTCTCAAATATGAGCCAGCTTCATACTGAAGAGATTCCAACTTCATATATTCCACCCAAATCATATTTTATCCTATGATATTAATCTTTAAAAAGAGGTAATAGATAATTTGTGGTTAATTCCAATTAATTTCCAGTTCAAGGTTAAAGATTTTCATTTTTAATTTTTGTTTCAAAAGTATCCATCATTCGCTGAAATATTTACACATTCATATTTACACACAATTCACTATAGCACACATTTTCCCCAAAACATTGAGCAAGGGAGCTGTGCTTTAAAGTATATTCACATCTAGTAATATGCTAAATATCTGGAGTAATCTGTCTTTTAAATTTTTAAAAATATACTGTTATAAATACCTCGATTTTATAAAAATAACTTTATCCTAGAAGCAAGTAAATTTGCTAAATTAATCAATTTCTTTGTAATAACCAGCTGGACCCAGTAAACTCTTCAACATTCTAATATATGTATTATCTAAGGAAGTAAAATAGCTCAACCGTACTATCATTATCAGAAATGACTCATGAAGACAGAAGTCAGTTTGATTTTAAACACAGAAACTTACTCTTTGTATAAACCTATTCTCTTTACGTTTCAACTCTATCACAGAATAAAGCTTAAAGGTGACACTACTTAAAATCCACACTCTTGTTGTCAGTCTTCTATATGTGAAATATAAATAATATTTTCCTATTCTCTTCCTCGTATATGAGAATTGTCAGTGATATATATGTGAAAAGAAAATCTCAGAACATTCCTTAAGCAGTACTGGCAAAAAATATATATATACATATATATATTCCATATTATTTAGAAATCCTTAAGAGAATTGTGAACAAGTGTGTTCTCTTAAACTAATTTGTTTACTTTAGATGTTTCAAGTGAGAGAAAAAAACAAAACAAAACCCAGGAATATATAAAGGGGAAAAGGGAGTAGGGAATTGCAACTTTCCATCTTATCTAAAATCTTTTTACTATCCCAATGGATACAAGTCACTCCTACTCACTATACTGAAAGCAGATTTTATCAAGCTTTGCAGGAAAAAAAAAAAGTAGTATGTCATTTTAAACATTTTTTTGTTTTTATCAGGAAAAGAAAGATCGAGGAATTAACAGGAAACATTTATAGCTGTCCCAGAAAATTCATAGAAATATTTCAGTGTTTCAATAACTTTGTTATATAATCGCTTCTTTATTTAGCAAATACCTATGAAGTTCAGAATAGTATTTTGCAAAACTGAAATTATCTAAAACTAAAAAAAAGTTATAAAAAAGAATTATCCAATCAGCATCCACATGTGCCAAGAACATGCTGCATTTTAATTTTCTGTTATTAATGTTACCTTTTTTACAAGTTCTCACTCATTTTAGTAGCCATGGAAAACCATTAACCTGATAATTAAGCATATGCCAGGTATTCCCATGTTAGTCAGTCTCATTTTGTCAAATCTTCAGTCATATGACTTAATATGACTCTCTAACAGAGCTATCCCTTCCTTCCCTCTCCTCCTTCCCAAGACAGTGCTTTGTAGAAAGGAAATCTTTATTATCTTTGGGGCGGTTGGTGTAGAGGGCCTTAACTTTGTGCAAATCTTTTTGGTCTCCACGGCATGGTGCAGGTGGTCCCTGGATGTGTGCTGTTTTCCACCAAGGCACAGTTAGTCTGGTTCCTTCCAGGACCCTGACACAATCCTAGGCTACTGGAACTTGTCAAACCCTCTCCCGGCTCTCTTGCCTGTATCTTGACACCCACAGGTACGTTTCTTTCAAAGACCTGCTGAGACGTGATAGAGGAAAAGGGGAATGTGGTCTGGTACACACAGCATAGCCTAGAACCCTTGCAACCTGGTCATCACTCAGGCGACTTCCTGTGGCCAGCCCCTCCTCCAGAAATCTCAAGCATCTTGACATCTCTTAGGGGCTGATTGGAACGTTGGGGTCCTTTAGAAACCACATTGTGACTGAAAGTTGCCGGGGTGGATGCGGAAAGTCATAGGAGGGAAAGAGACAAATCAGGCCTAAGCCTGCCATGGCACTATTTTTATTGTCCTGCTGTCACTGTCTCTTCTCTCCATCATTCTTAATGGGGAGCAGGGCAAAAGCTCTCCTTCCAGCTTTTCCTCAACAATCAAATATGCTTTGCAGCTATGGAGCTTAACCCCAGAGACAGGAGGTCAAAACATATTAGTCTTCCTATCGGAGTCCCTCTCTCTCTCTCTCATTTCTCTTTCCTTGGAGGGAGAAAGGCAAACTTTCAGCTTCTTCCTGCCAGGCAAGCCCTTCTCCTCTGAGGGATCACAGTGGCCTCCTTGCCAAGGTGGCATTTGGTCTGTACCCTTTCCCAAAGCCGTTGTGGTGGACAGAATACCAAGAGGGAATCTAGTTTATGAATAAGGGAAATTAACTTGACAGATCCTTTTAAAATAGACTGCCCTCTACATAAACTACACAGCACTGTGCTTGGTTCTGTGAACAAGCAAAATGAAAAATTATTTCCTCTCCTAACGGTCTAAGTTGAACGTATCAGAAATCTCACTGTGAGACACAATTTTTGTGGAGTAAGGAATCTTACATCATTCATGATAAAAAACAATTTCCATTTACTGACCAGACAAATATCTCAGTCTTCACATTCTTTTTTTCCTGTGTCTTCAGTTTTGTTATATTTCTGAAATTGATGAATTGCCTTATGAAGAGCTGTGTTTTACTTTAATAGCTATTGTTTTGCAAAGATAACGTTTAACGTTAAGGCTTTTGAGATATCCATCCCCCTCCTCAGTTTTTTACACCCTCCCTCCTGCAGTATTTAAAAATACAAGATACGATATTATTTTGTCCGTAATACCTCAGTTTATATCTCTAGCAGGTAAGGCCTTTTTAAAAACATAACCACATTATTATGATTACCACATCTAAAACACAATAATAATTCCTTAATATCACCTAATAATTATTCTGTATTCAGATCTTTCTGGTTGTCTCGAAAATCCGTTTTGCGAGTTGCAGTGTTTGAGTCAGAGTCCAAACAAGGTCCATTCACTGCATTTGGCAGATACTGTTCTCGTGTCTCTTACACAAGTTAAAAAACTGAAAAGAAAAAAGTGGAGCAGGCAGAACTTTCTTCTCTGTTTATAGTTATATTCCCTATAGAACATCATTATTTTAAAGTTTTTGATTTATCCTTACAAGTTTCTTTTTGAAAATATAAATCAATGTATATCTGAATCCCCTTTCTTACCAAAAAAATTACATATGTATATCTATATGTTCAGCATATTCTACACGTTGCTTCACATCCTTTTTGTTTCTTCTCTTAAAAATATATTCTGGATATCACTTCATATCAACCTATAGACATATCTCTGTGACTACACGGTATTCCATTGTGAGAATGTTTTTTCCCACAGTTGTTCCCACATTTTGATGGGCTTTTTGTGATTATAAGAAATCAAATTTTTCTTCGTATTTTTGGAGGTGTATCTCAAACAAGATTCCTAGGAGCGAGATTACTGGATCAAAGGATAAAGGTATATGTAGCTTTTCCAAGTATTTCCAAATTCCTCCCTATAGGGGGTGTACATTTTGCAGTCCCGCCAGCAAACGCGTGAGAGGAGCTCTTTCCAAGAGCCTAGACAACAGGAGATTGCTCAAATTTATAAATTTTTGTGATGCTAATGGAAGAGAAATGGTATCTCAGTGTAATTTTAAATTGAATTCCTCTTATTTTAAGTAAGATTAAACACCATTTCATGTGTATAAGGGACATCTACATTTCTTTTTTTTTTTGCCTCTCACTGTTGTGGCCTCTCCCGTTGTGGAGCACAGGCTCTGGACGCGCAGGCCAGCGGCCATGGCTCACGGGCCCAGCCGCTCCGCGGCATGTGGGATCTTCCCGGACTGGGGCACGAACCCGTGTCCCCTGCATCGGCAGGCGGACTCTCAACCACTGCGCCACCAGGGAATCCCCTACATTTCTTTTTATGTGTCTATCCACTTATTTTACCCATTTTCCATAAGATTCTTTTTTATTCTTCTCAAGTTTTAAAAAGCACTTTAATATCAAAATATTATTTATTTTTCTGTGACGTAAGTTCTACATGATTTTCCCAGTTTGTCTTTTTATTTGCTTATGCTGTTTGCCATGCAAAACTTTGATTTTTTATTTCATAGAGCAAATTTATAAATCATTTTCCTTATTGTTCTTGGATTCTTTGTCACATTTAGAAAAATTTTCCCTACACCCATGTTATAAAGAAACTCACTCTTGTTTTCTTACTGTACTTGT